ATTGTATATATATACCATATCTTTATCCATTCATCCACCGATGGACATTTGGGCTTTTGCCATTCTTTGGCTATTGTTCATAGTGCTGCTATAAACATGGGGGTGCATGTGTCCCTTCAAAACAGCACACCTGTATCCCATGGTTAACTGCCTAGTAGTGTGATTGCTGGGTCATAGGGTAGTTCTATTTTTAGTTTTTTAAGGAACCTCTGTACTGTTTTCCAGAGTGGCTGCACCAGCTTGCATTCCCACCAACAAAAAGCAGAGGTTTATTTTTTAAAAATTGTCAAAATGCTATTATGTACTAAGTTTTGTTTTAGGCACTTTATAGGTAGTAACTGATTTAATTCTCACAACAATCCTATGAGGTAGATACCGTGTTATGGCCATTTTATTGATGAGCTTAAAGCAACTTGTCCAAGGTTACCTAGGTCTTGAGTAACTAAACCAGGTTCTGGTTACACATAAGGATCTTGGAAGTTGCAACTCCATCCTAACAACAAGTAGCAGGTGGAATGGACCAATGTTGGAATTATCAGATTGAGACTTTGAAACAACTGGGGTCCATGCAGAAAATAGACTGAATGCTAGAACAGATGGACAATGTAGGCAGAGAGATGGCAATCCTTAGAATGAACCAAAATTAAATGCTAGGTATAATAAACACTATAGCAGAAATGAAGAATGCCTTTGATGGACTTATTTGTAGGCTGGCGGAGCTGAGAAAAGAATCTCTGAGCTAGAGGATGTATCAGTTGAATCCCCAAAAACTGAAAATCAAAGGGAACAAACACTGAAAAAAAAAATACAGCAGAACATCCAAAGACTGTGGAAATGTGGGACAACTACAAAAGACATAGTATACATATAATGGGAATACCAAAAGGAGGAAAAAAAAGGGAGAAAGGAACAGAAGACATATTTGACAATGATAATGACAGAATTTCCCCCCATTTAATGTCAGACACCAAATCATAGATCCAGGAAGCTCAGAGAACATCAATCATGTAAACACCAAAAACTACACCTCAGCATATTACTTTTAAATTACAGAAAACCAAAGATAAAAAATCCCAAAAGAAGCCAGAAGGAAAAAATCCATATCTCCAGGGGAACAAAGATGAGAATTACATCTGACCTCTCCTTAGAAACCATGCAAGCAAAAAAAGAGTAGAGTGGAGTATTAAAAGAGTCGAGTGAGAAAAAAAGCACCCCCAGTCTGGAATTCTATACCCTGTGAAATTATCCTTTAAAAGTGAAGGAGAAATAAAGACCTTCTCAGACAAACAAAAGTTGAGGGAATTTGTTGCCAATACACCTTCTTTATAAGAAATATTAATAAAGCAGTTCTTTACAGAGAAGAAAAATAATATAGGTCAGAAACTCAGATCTATATAAAGAAGGGAAGAGCATCAAAGAAATAAACAAAGTTGAAATAAAAATGTGTTTTCCTTAATCTTAACTGATCTAACAGATATAATTTGCTCAAATTATAATAGCAACAATGTATTTGATTATATATATATATATGCACACTTATGTGTGCTTGTATATAAATGAAATTATATATGGTTATTTGGTTGTCTCTCTATATTCTTTATCATATCTTTCTGTAATAAACTGGTTATCCACTAAATAAAATGTTTCTCTGAGTTCTGTGAGCCCCTTTAGCAAATTAATTGAACCTCAGGAAGGCGTTGTGGGAACCTCTGATTTTTATAAGTACAGATAACAACCTGGAGTTGCAGCTGGCATCTGAAGCCCAAGGAGGAGGTTTTTGGAACCTCCGGTCTGTAGCCTGTTGGTCCAAAGTCCAGGTAATAACCTGGGCTGTGACTGGCATCTGAAGGGCAGGTGCAAGGGTGGAGAAAGGGTATAATCTTGTAGGACTAACAAGTCCAGGACTAACAAGTCCTGACAGACTAACACTTAACCTGTATAATCTCATGCTATTTCTGGGTAGATAGTGTCAGAATTGAATTGAATTATAGGGCACCCAGATACTGTCCTGAATATCATTTATCATTGCTTGAAACTTCCCTCCCCCACTCCCCATACACATACATATTAGACATTGGTACCAGAACCCCATAGCAAAGATGTCCTCTTTACCACCATGTTCAACATGATGCTGAAAGTGCTTGCTAATACAATAAGTCAAGAAAAGGAAATTAAAGTTACATTTATCAGGACAGAAGACATAAAACTATCTTTTTTCTTAGATGCCATGATCATATGTATTGAAAATCCAAAAGAATCAACAAACTATTAGAACTAATAAGCAATTATAGCAAAGTTGCAGGAGACAAGTTAATATACAAAAGTTAATTGCTTTCCCATATACCAACAGTGAACGAGTGGAGTATAAGATTAGAAACACAATACCATTTACATTAGTATCCCCCCCAAATGAAATATGTAGGTATAAACTTAACAAATGATGTATAAGATCTGCATGAGGAAAGCTACAAAACTCTGATGAACAAAACCAAAGAACCAAGTAAATAGAGATTTTATGTTCATGGATAGGAAGATTCGATATTGTCAAGATGTCAGTTCTTCCCAACTGAACCTATACGTTCAATGTAGTCTCAGTAAAAATTCCAGCAAGTTATTTTATGGATATCAGTAAACTGATTCCAAAGTTTATGTGGAGAGTCAAAAGACCCAGAATCACCAGCACAATATTCAAGGAGAATAACAAAATTCTTCAAAAGAGCAATGCTCCCCAACTGCAAGATTTATTGTAATGCTACAGTCGTCAGGGCAGTGTGGTATTGGCGAAAGAATAGACAAATAGATTGATGGAACAGAATAGAGAACCCAGAAATAGACCCTTTTAAATATAATCAACTGACCTTTGACAAAGAAGCAAAGGCAATATAAAGAAACAAAGATAGACTCTTCAACAGATGGTGCTAAAACAGTTGGGACACCCACATGCAAAAAAAAAAAAAAAAAACATCTAGACACAGATCTTATACAGTTCACAAAAATTTACTCAAATGAGTCACGGACCTAAGTGTAAAATGCAAGAGTATAAAACTACTGGAAGATAACATGGGAGGAAACCTGCTTGACCTTGGGGTATGGTGATGCCTATTTAAGTATCACACCAAAAAATACAACCCATGAGAGAATATGAAAGCGTATGAAAAGATGGTCCACATCATATGTCATCAGTGAAATGTAAACGAAAACAACACTGAACTACCACGACACTCATTCTGTCCAGAATCTGGAACACTGACACCACCACCGGTGTTGCTGGTGAGGATGCGAAGCAACAAGAACTCTCATTCGTTGTTGAGGGGGCAAAATGGTACAGACACTTGGGAAAACACTTTGGTGGTTTCTTATAGAAAACAGCAACAACAACAACATACTCTTACCATAAAATGTAGCAATTACGCTGCTTGATATTTGCCCAAATGATTTAAAAACTTATGTTCACACAAAAAACCTGCACAGGGATGTTTACAATAGCTTTATTCATAACTGCTAAAACTTGAAGGCACCAAGATGCCCTTTAGTAGGTAAATGGATACACTGTGGTACATCTAGGGACTGGAATATTATTCAGCACTCAAAAGGAATGAACTATGCAGCCATGAAAAGACATGGACAAACCATAAATTCATAGCACTAAGTGAACGAAGCCCATCTAAGAAGGCTACGTAATGTATAGTTTCAACCGTGTGACACTCTGGAAAAGGCAAGATGTGGAGAAAGGAAAAAGACCAGTGGTTGTTGGAGAGGAAGGAGAGGTAAATTGGCAGAACACAGAGGATTTTTAGGGTAGTGAAAATAATTTGTGTGACATTGTAATGATGTCTGCGTATCATCATGCATTTGTTCAAACCAATAGAGTTTATAATGCCAAAAGTGAACCCTAAGGTAAACTATGGACTTTAGGTGATTATGATGTGTCCGTGTCCTTGATCCATGGTAAAAAAAAAAAAAAAAATACCATTTTGGTGAATGATATTAATAGTAGGGAAGGCTGTACATGAGTGGGAGTGAGGGTCATATGGGAAGTCTTTGTACCTTCCTCTCAATCTTATTGTAAACCTAAAACTGCTCTAAAAAAACTAAAGTCTTTACAAAAAAAACAAAAACCTAAGCCAGAATTTGAACCAGTGCATAAAGCAGCAGAGCCCCTACTCCTAATTACTATCCTGCTGGTAAGAATATATATCCCTTAGCATGCCTCAAGCTGCAAGGCTAGGAATGGCAGAAATAGCTTATTTGAAAAATATGCATGCTCTTTGTTTATTAACAGCACTCTTTGTCACGTAGCTGTGGTTTGACAGTATGTATTTCTTTTAAACAGACATTAATGCAGACTTTGCTGGATATCATAGAGATGGAAAGAAATGAAGAAAAGAGCCCCAACTATGGGCTTTTAATACTTTGGGCTTCTCTGTCCAATGCTGTCCCTGTAAGTATATTAGTAAAGTAAGGGTTACAGTTCTGTCTACTGCAATTTCAAGTTTTTTCCTTCGTTTTTCTTTCTGTTCTTTCTATTATGGGAAAGAAAAAAGACAGCAGTGGATCTGGTTGTGAGCTAGGAAAACAAAACTCACATGGCTAGTAAAATCTGATAAAGCCACAGAGGAGGCAAAGCAGAGATCTCAAGTGAATTCTGCCCTCTGCAAGGCAGCTCGTCCCAGGCTAAGGGAAAAACTTGCACTTTGGGGTCAATTGTGACAACACTGCTTATGGAGCACTTTCTTTGTCAGGCAACATGCTTAGTATTAGCGCTTGAAATGAGTAGGTCTTGACTCTAACATTTTACTGGGGAGAGAGTAGGCAAATGGATAATTTGAGACAGAATTGGGCTGGAATCAAGATATCCCCCTCCAGAGCTGTGGAATCTCAAAGAGGTAACTTCAACCCTCAGCCTCCATTTCCTTTTGGGTAATGAAGGGATAATACAGCTCCTGGTATGGTCCTAGGACTTGGGTACTTAATGAGTGGTGACTCTCATTTCTCTACAAGGTTGTTGCAAGGATTCAGTGAGATAAACCCCGCTGGTACCCGGTGAATATCAGTTTGTGTTAGGTGGCATCTATGTCCTGTAAGCTTCCCCATGAATGGAACTGGTGACCTTGGAACTCACAATACTTCTGAAGAGAGCAGAGAATTTTTTTATGTTTACTTACTCTGAGAGAGAGAGAGAGAGAGAAAGAGAAAACAAGCACAGAAGCCAGGGAGGGGCAGAGAGAGAGAGAGAGAGAGAGAGAGAGAGAGAGAGAGAGAGAATCCCAAGCAGGCTCCACACTGTCAGCACAGAACCCAAAGCAGGACTCGAACCCTGAGGTCATGACCTGAGCCAAATCCAAGAGTTGGACACTTAACCAACTGAGCCAGCCAGGTGCGCCGAGAACAGAGACTTTTTAACTGTTTCTTTTTTATTTATTTTTTTAGTATTTATTTATTTTTGAGCGAAAGAGGGACAGAACGCAAACAGGGGAGGGGCAGAGAGCAAGGAAGACGGAGATTCTAAAACAGGCTCCGGGCTCTGAGCTGTCAGCACAGAGCCCAACGTGGGGCTCGAACTCATGAACTGTGAGATCGTGACCTGAGCCGAATCAGATAGTTAACCTACTGAGCCACCCAGGAGCCACTTTAACTGTTTCTTTTAAAGTTGTTATAAACTAGGGGCGCCTGGGTGGTGCAGTCGGTTAAGCGTCCGACTTCAGCCAGGTCACGATCTCGCGGTCCGTGAGTTCGAGCCCTGCGTCAGGCTCTGGGCTGATGGCTCGGAGCCTGGAGCCTGTTTCCGATTCTGTGTCTCCCTCTCTCTCTGCCCCTCCCCCGTTCATGCTCTGTCTCTCTGTCCCAAAAATAAATAAACGTTGAAAGAAAAAAAAATAAAAAAAAAATAAAAAAATAAAGTTGTTATAAACTAGATCAAAGCCATGTGCTGTGTGCCACTTCATGTTTGACCCGCACCAGCTACCTGTGTCAGAAGATTCCACATTAGCTTAAGCTGCGTTTACATTATTTGAGAAATTAAAGAGTAACCTTTTTTATGCATCTGTCTTCTACTAAATGGGACTATTCAGCCCATCTCTAATGATACATGTAGCCATTTTTCTTTTTTTCTTCTAGCAAATAGAAATAAGATATTTTAAGTATTATTTATTTCTCCCTCCTCTTAATGAAGGCTTTCTAAGTACTGATAGTCTAGTTTCCTTTAACCTGTTGGAACACAGACTGGGTAAGAAGCGGAAATAGAAACACTGGCCTCTCTGCTCACATGTGTGTCAGTCTTACGTATTTCATCTGGAATGGGCAAATAAGAATCGTCTAATCCTTTCCTCTTCTTTATGTACCTCTGACATTATTCCCTGATTTCTCCTTAGACAGCGTTCTTGGATACCGAGTAAGCTACAGCAAAATTAAAAGGCAGACGTCAGAACAGCTCCCAAAGCAGCAACAAAACAGCCACTCCTGTCACAGGATTAATTTTCAAGATCTCATTAGAGAGGTCCCCCAGAAAAAAGGGACACAAAGCTCCAATTGATCTGACTCAGGGGAAGTCAGTTCTTTGGAACGTGTCCCTGGCATTCATCTGAAAGGACTTAAATCATTAATTTCAGAAAGAAAGTGTCTGATGATTAGTGAAAGATCCATCTTGCTGGCGCTTGTTGGCATCTCCAAGAGGCAGCTGGTGTGTGGACAGACACCCTAGAAAGGCTTCAGAGAGTGAGGCCCACTGCCAAATCCCCGTTCTGGGTGACAGTGAACCGATTGTTTAACCTCTCTGATCCTCAGTATTCTCATCTATAGGATAGGATGAATGTGATCTACCTCATACGATAGTCGTGACGGTTGTATTTTTAAGACATGGCAAGTGGCTAACAGTCCCTGGCACAAAGAAGGTGCTCAATGAGTGTTAGCTTTCTTCTTTTATAAAAAGTAAGGCCATCCTTCCTGTCAATCATTACTTTCAATGGCCCATTAATTATAAGCTGGCTTGGTTCTCAAACCTGGACCAAATGCCCCAGAGTGGGAGTGGCCATGTTGCCTGGCTTCTGTGATGTCCCATAAGTGCCTAGACAACCACTGCAGGCCCTGCTGGAGGGACAGGAGGTGGGGCCTGTCCTTTCTTCTCTTCTCTCCCACTCTGTGCTCTGCCTCCAGGCCCATGGAACTCAGACCTATCTGAAGGATAGTCTTGGGACAGGTCACTAGAAGGCTCCATTATGGCCAAGGTGACCTTTGGTGGGCCGGCCCAAAATATTAACCATAATTTGTGAAATTATTCCTGTGGGGAAACCACTTCCCAATTCCAAGAAATTCCTTTCAAATGAACTTTTTAAGAACATTTTTCCAAAACTAATCTCACAGCTGACATTTTGTCTTTGATATCGACCGCTATTTGAAGCTCTTTCTAAATCCTTTTGGTAGTGACCACTACCCCCCACCCCACCCCATCTCACTTTCAACTCGCACAGCATGGGTTGTTGGCACCACACCTGGCTCCTTTTTCACCTGATTGTATTTCATATCCCCAGCTAGATGTGTAAAGTTCTTTGGGCAGGAATGATGTCTTGTACATATTTGTGTTTACCATGATTGTAGAAGACTGACATGTTATGGAGACTCCCTCAATATTTATTAATCTTTTTTTGAATGGGGGAATAAAATTTTTTTTTTTTAACGTTTTATTTATTTTTGAGACAGAGAGAGACAGAGCATGAACGGGGGAGGGGCAGAGAGAGAGGGAGACACAGAATCGGAAACAGGCTCCAGGCTCTGAGCCATCAGCCCAGAGCCCGACGCGGGGCTCGAACTCACGGACCGTGAGATTGTGACCTGAGCTGAAGTCGGACGCTTAACCGACTGAGCCACCCAGGCGCCCCTGAATGGGGGAATAAATGCTGCTGAAGAACATACCCAATTCATCTTCTCTCTAACAGAGCTGGGCAGGGCTTTCCTCTTTGTCCATTGTTACCTTTGTTCTTACCTCTCCAGAAGCATTATAGTGGCTGCTTGTGAAGTCCAGTGAGCCAGGGCACCCTTTTTCTTTTTGCCCAGCCCTCACCATGGACTTGACCCCTTTGACAGAACTCTAATTGTCATTTTTGGGAGCAATGTTTAGCTGAGAGTGCCAAGGTCTTGTGGTCACTTAGTCTTGTTTGTTGATTCAGTAATATATGTAAATTTCTTAGTTTCTTATTACTGTCCTTTTTTTTTTTTTTTTTTTTTT